TCAAAATCGTTTCAATTTCTCCTTAGAAATCCAGAGAGTTTCATCTGCTGAATTTTCTTTAAATTTTTCTAATCAATTTTAACGTAAGACTACGTTTGTGATTTCTGTCTAGAGGGTACACTTTGCTAAAACCAAAAATGGAACATGTAACAAAATTATGAAGGATTTTGAACGTTAATAGCTCAGCTGGCCGTGAACCAATTTCAATAATTTTATCACCAATCGATCAGAAATATTCCTACGCATCGCGTTACTTCCGACTGTTGATTTTCAACAAGAAACTATTGAAAAAGTGGTAAATGTCAAGCATTGTCCAATGTACAAATAAAAAGTGATAATTTTATCACTGGTTTCATGAAATAAAGGTTCTTCCCAAATCCAGTCGTCATAATCGAGTACCACTTGTTTGCACATCATTCTGCTTTAACCTGAAACGATATAAAACAGCGCTGCTGTCTAGCCTCAACTCATTTTTGCTTCGGACGGCGTGGTGAGCAGGCAGCAGAAGCAGTAATATCAGCAGTAGGAAGGTGGATGCAGGTTAGGTAGTTCACTCTTCACCTAACAAGCAACAATGACTGGTAGTGGCAAAGGAGAAAAAGGTCTTGGTAAAGGAGGCGCCAAGCGTCATCGCAAGGTTCTTCGTGATAACATCCAGGGTATTACCAAGCCCGCCATCCGTCGTCTGGCTAACCGTGGCGGTGTCAAACGTATCTCTGATCTGATCAGCTGATGATCTCATCTAGCCACATAACCAGCAAAGCAACTACCCCTGTGTTAAAGTAGAACCATCGCGACGATCAGCAAAAGGAACCAAGCTTCTAATTCTGAAGCAACCGACCGGGTCAACCCGTGTCCAGCAGTAGCCACACCGAGGCTCTTCCGAGTGCCCATTCATCGTAGCAAGGTTGAGGATTCCCTCGCTGTGACCTTCCAACCTGTCGCAGACACCAGTTTCCAGCAGCAGACGGACCGAGACGCTTGCGAGTACCCAATCATTGAACCGAAGATCATGGGATTGTCCGGCCCGATTTGCTGATCCAGCTGTCTACACGTCGTCATTATCTTCTAAAGGTTTTAAGCCTCTACTACCATCAGGGCCGCCAAGATTTTCCAAAAGAGTTAAATTTCTGACCATGTCCCAACCATAATTTCATATCAAAAGATTGTTTTCGCGGCAATCATAGTCATTCCAAAGAGTATAAACCCCACTCAAATTCCTATTCCTACACAAAACACAAGCTCCTGCTGCTGTTAACAAATAACATTTATTATATAAGACCACGTAGTCCTACGTCACCTTTGCTGCGTACAACCCTTGTAGTTTTTAATTAAATTCTTCTTCTAATCTTTTTTTGAATCATCCTCTGAATCCCTTGAGTTTTTTCTTCTTCTAAACCGTCCTCAGTCCTTTCCAATTATCCTCATTAGACCGTTTTAATTTTAACGGTGGAATTATATATATATAAAAGGGAAAATTTTAAACCTAGAATTTTTTTCAGGCAAAATCTAGGATCTTGATAATTTTTCAAAATCACACATTTTGAGTTTTTTTTCTGTCTAAGAGTGATGAAAACCTTTCCATTTCTGTTGTTTTTCATCCGAGCGACGAAGGCAGGCTATACAAATTTCTAAAAAAAAAAATCAGAATCTTGGAAATTTTCTTAAAAACCTTAAAATGCTTAACATTTCTAATAGTACAGACTACGGAGTGTTAGCATATTTTCTTCTTAAAGGGCTCCAATAATTTTACCTAGATTTCATTTGCAACCAAATTTAAGCTTTCTAAAACAATTTTATTTACGGTGTCAGAATAAATTTTGCTGCAATCAATTTCAAGTCAATTTGTAATGTCTTCAATGCCCAATGAGATCTTCAAAGTTTGTCAAAGCTCCACAGTGATGCAAATTATTTAAAAAAAAATATTCAGAGCTCAATCTTTCACTTTTGAAATTTGGCTTAGTGCCCTAATGGGTTTTGACCCAATGATCCATTAGGCTTAATAGCGTTCGGAATAGTGTGTTTTGGCGGTACGGACCTCAGGGCTGGTAGCAAGCCACTTTTTAGTGACTTGGTCACTTTTTACAAGCCGGTCACCAAAAAGTCTCTTTTTTTTAAGGTCAAGTCACTAAAGTCACTTTTTCTTGTAATAAGACACTATTTTAAACTTTTTTAAACGTGAATTTATTTCATGATTGATCATTCTTCTGAATAGGTCTACATTTTGTTCTATTTTTGAACAATTCGAAGTTGACGACCTTGTATAGAGTTTAGTGACGTTTAATCGTCTTTCTCTATCTACAGGGTGTCCACTCATTTGGCTAAATAAAGTTTTCTGAGTTTTCCAAGTTTTTCCATAACTTTGGCGGATAATTTCCAGGTTTATAATAAGAATGCTATTTATTAAATTGGTTAAAAATATATTTTTAAAGCAAACGTTCTTAAAACATGACAATCAGTTTTAAAGTAACAGCTTTGATAGTAAATAACATTAAATGTTGAAGTTGAACACTTACTTCATTATAGTAAGTCTAAAAGCACAACAGTTTTAATGTCTTGACGTTTAGTACTAACAAAAATGTGGAAGCTTTAATGAAGTTCTATTGATCTCAGAAAAGCTAGATCAAGAGATCTTTGGGGAGTTCCAGAGATCTTAAGGGGAAGTCCCCGAAACTTTAGCCCAGACTATTGAATTGATTTAAAAATCTATAAGCGTGAGCTTAGACAAATTCACGATAGTTCCATGATGTGCTGAAATAAAATCGAGAACCCTTAAGATGTTCCGAAAGATTCAGTACAGATACTTTCAGAAAATTTATGTAAAAGTAAAGTACGAATGCAAAATTACAAAACAAGGCTAAATAAATAAATAAAACCCAATTCTGCAATACTGTAACCTAGCATGGAACCCGTGCACTGCCATGCACGAAGAACGCATAGAATCCGTCCAAAAACAATTATTCCTTTTACATGCTCTTAGTAAATTGAATTGGACGGCATTTCCTCTCCCATCAGTATGCTCATCAACTTACAAACATTCAAGGAACACCGCGAATTTGCAAGTAAGGATCGAATAATTATGATAGGGTTGATGTCCTTTTTATTAGTCTTGCTTAAATAATTTAAAAAAACTTGTTGAATCGACTTCTCATTCTTAGCTACCAACAATACTATTTCTATTGCCCAGATGACGCATTGTTCTAATAAATATTGAAAAACGGGAAATTTTCATAAATGGGTCCGTTCTGTGGATCCAAACCCCAATATTAAAGCCATTTCCCCTATTACAGATTTTCCATGATATCTTAATGTAATTGTGGTTGATGGAAATATTAGAAACTTAATACATCACGGTCTTATTTGCCCTGTGAAACACTTTGCATTCACATCAACTTGAATTATTCAGGCAATTTCCGTTCATCTTAAAGGCAAATATGAATGCCCTTCTTCCCTCCCGCTTCCTTTCGGAGGCTGTAAAATAGCCGCTGTTTTAGTGGCAGCAGCAGAAGCACCACCTTCAGGCTCTTCATATTTATTGATTTATTGAGGACGAGTTCACGTGCCGAAGCAGCTAGCTAGCAAGAAATCTAGTTTCACGCTGTATTTATAAATAAATCTGCACACCATTGACGCGCTTCTCGTGTCTGTAGGATTTCTCCAAGCGGAGTGTGCAAACCGGGGCCAGGAAAGTTTGTTATTGTGCACCCAGTACCGGTAGTGCAATTAATTTGTAATAAGAGTCAATTACTTGCGAGCTCTCTCCGGATTTTTTTCTATACAGATCCCGCACCCACTTTGAAATTAGCATATTGGAATTGTGTAACAATTAGTCCGGCCCCAATTTAGCTGAGACCATTGCAGACAGGTGGCGGTCAGCTCTCTGGATCAATAAAAAAAAACTGTTGCCACAAGAACTACATGTTTCTAGTAGATGTTCCATAATTTCCAAAATACTTGAAATGTTGCGCCAATCGTCACGGTAATTTTGCCGGCAATCGCTGAGAAGTGGTCGATGAAATGCGTGAATGGGAATTCGCGGTCAAGTCGCACGTCAAAAATTGACGTGTCAAATGCGTCTGTTCATTTGCTATGCCATCGAATAGAGGAGTTTGTCAAAAGATGCCGCGCTCAACCGACGTTTTAGCGTGATTGGATAAATTGTTCAATTTGTTCCGAAATCCAGATTGATTTTTTTTTGTTTATTGGAGGAAACGGTAGTCTTTTTTTTTCCCACACCAGAGCCAACGGATTCAAAGATCAAGCGGCAAAAACTCGACGCGCTGAACTCTACTGGCTCGATTTTCGCTTTCGCCAAGGGGACCCACCCACTATCTTGATGCAGCTAGCGGTTGTCTAAACTGTTGATGGCGTGAGTTGATTAGTTTTCCCTGGCAAGGTATCGGAGCACGAGAGGGGGTGGTCTCGTTTTTCTTGCTGCTTTTCGATGTCTTTCCGATTTCTGGGAATTTTCGCTTTCGAACCTGCGAACTTTGGCTGAAGGGCTCGACTCGACATGAAATTGGTCTCTTGTTCTCTGTCTCTCACCCAAGATTAGAGTTGTTGTTGAAGTATTTTTTTTGTGTCTACTGCCGACACGTCACAGACAAAATGTTGTATAGTAGGTACCCAAATCAGATGTGCATTTCTGGCTGCGTGAGACGGATGGACAGATTTGGCAATGGCGTGGCGCTATATGGGTGAAATGTTTTGGCTACACGGTGTTTCCATGGGAAAATTGCATGACTCGACAGAAAGCGGGTGCTCGTGAGCTGCGAAAGGGTCTTGTGTGTGTGGTGGGTGAGGAAATTGAAGCTGTGTGTCTTCCACCATCGGGTGAAAAGAAAGTGAAAGATTGGAGGCTCGAACAAAAAAAGCGAAAAATAAAACACTGGTCATGAAACATACTCGAGCATGATTGGTTTCTAATCAACACATCTGTCTGATGTTCGTTTTGTGGAGTGGTAAATTAGCTTTTTCGTTCTGTTTATTTCTTCTTTCAGCACACACTGACCGGACACAGCGGAAAGGTGCTGGCAGCCAAATTTCTCGGTACAACCTTCCTAGTCACCGGTAGTCACGATCGCACGCTTAAAATTTGGGACCTCAAAAATCGATCATGTAAGTATTATCAACGCTTTGCATAACATTTTCTGGTGATCCGTTTAAGATGATCTCTTATGATAATATACACTCCGATTATTAGATAATGTCATTTGTGTAGAATGGAGCCTTGTATTTCATCATCATCATCATACAAATGCAGAATGAACATGCATGCATACAAATAAAAGTCGTTTCGTCTTGGCTACATAATGTGGCTCATGATTTTTTTATTCTTTAGCATGGCAAGTTGTCCTTTTCTGTGGAAATGGAAAGTCAAGCCATTTTGGCATTTCTGTTTTAAAAATTATAAATTGCTTGAAATTTGAGCAAGATTGATTGAGGCTTAGGAGTGGGCTGAGGCTCAGGCCAAATTTCTATAGACTCTCCGCCGCCATAAGTCCAATCGACTCTACCACTGATATCCTATACCGGGTTCTGGTATATTGGTCGACTTGAGAGGCCTTTAAGATTATCACGCTTAATCATGAACTGAAGTGGTGTTATACACAGATAGAAAAATCTGATTTTTTTTCCACCGCGTCAAATCTCCGCTCGTTTAATTTTGAGCTTTAGTTGACATAAACAAAAACAAAATGTTGCAACAATGCTGATCTCTGCGATATTGCGCTTAAATTTTAAAATGAATTATTATTTAAATTTTAGCGTTAACAACGTATGCGTTAGATCTCGTAGAAAATTATATGTATTTTCCAAACGGTGTAGGTTATCTTCAGAGACCTTATAAGTTACATCCAAATATTTCTTGGATCATAAGCATTATGGGTTAACATCATAAATTTGATTAGTCAACTCCGGGCTTTATATTCTGATCACGAAAGTCTAACGGGCTAGGTCTCGTAGACTTATCGGCAACATTTTGTGATTTTATGATTAAATTCTATATGTCTCATTGATCAACCCCGGAGTTCCTTAATAATACCGGAGACCTATGGATTAAGATTAGAGGCCTTGTTGTTGAACTTCAGTGACCACTTGATCCAAGTTCAGAGTTTTTATGAATCAACTCCAGAGGCGTTATGTGTCAACTTTAAATAGATCTGCTTCGGAGGCCGGATGGATCAACTTCATATACTTTATGTCTATTTCTCTTATATGTCAAATGCGTAGTCAATTGGGTTGCGCTATCGTGGGCCTAACAGCTCAATTTTAGAGATCTCACAGTTAAGAATCGTTCTCGTCAACTCCAAATACCTCTTGGATCAACTTCAGAGTTCTTAACTGGTAGAACTGAAAGTTAGTCTACAACAGAGGACTCAGCTTGAGTTTTGAAGGCTTATAAGTCATTTTCAAAGATCTTATAGTTTACATTAGCGATCGTGTAAGTTTTTTTTAAGGCTCCTGACTCCGAACATCGTAGGCATTTATCGTACAAAGAGCTTATCAATTAATTCTTCAGGTTAAATAAACCATTTTCAGGCCCTTTAGTAATAAGTTCCAGTAGCTATACATGTTTCATAGGTCAGACCAGATACTTTATTGGGAGAATCCTATTTGATCTTCAGCCGTTTGGCATAACGTCATTTGGTATAGCTGTCGTTTGGCTTAATAGCCATTTGGCATAAATGTGAATACATTTTTTTGCCTTTATCGAACACTAGTTGAATAATCCCCCGGCGTTGTTCGGGGAAATTTGTTGCATTAATATTATAGCTCACTTTTCACTACTCACCCATCCACTTATCACGCCCTAGCGTATAATTCACTCACATACATACTCATAGTCTCATTTTCTTTCACTTTCCTTTTGCCATTTCATTCTCAGTCGAAAATAAAATGAAGAAAACAAATAAAAGGATTAGCGGTTCGGGCGTTCATATCTAGCGTTTGGAATCATAAGGGCCTAACTGTGATGGTAGATTCTATTCAATTAGAGATGAACTAGCCTAAGGCTAAAAATCTCTTTAAGAAAGCTTAAAAAAAAAAAGATTCTATTCAAAGATTTTATCTTCGCATTACTACAGTTAAGTGAACCAATTTTCCGAAATTCAATTCAGTGATGTAAAAGGTTGTATTGGCTAGCAGAAACAATATCAAAGGCACCGGGAAATACTAATCCAGCCGCACTATTTATAAAAGAAAAGGTCGATGAAGCGAATCGACCTTGGCAGTTAGGCTCTTATGATTCTGAACGCTAGATATATAAGATTACTCTTTTTTATCATGATCTGCAGTAACGGATCAGCCCAAGGCCCAAGTAACAATTCAACAGCCTTTCACACTGATTTATTGTGGTTTTATGACGGCAAATGCAATCTTTTTGGTTCAAATACAGCATTCAATAGTGCAACATATTCTTGTTTAGCAGTTCAGGATTTTGCTGTTTGGAAAACCTTTTAAAGTCTGACGATAAAGTCAAAACGGGTCTGGTTTTAAAAATGAATTTAATGCAGCATTCTATCCCTTTATTAACTGTGAAGTTAGTCAATCATAAACCTGCTCGGTATTTTTTTTATTGATGTCAAGACAAAATGCTCCATAAAGGTGTTTTATCATTATAAAAGCAATTATTAAACCGTTCGGTTTAAAACGGGAACAAAAAGCATACATTGTTGCTTTTTGGAGTCAATAAAGTGTATCACAAAAGCCTCCACTGTTTACAAATTAAACTAAAAATATGGATCCGCCTAGAGACAGAGAAAAAATAAATCAAGTGGGGCTTTTAAATACTGAATTACAAGTAAATGCCGATGGATAGTCGAGAAAAAATACTAGCGATAGTAGGATGAATAATTCTAGCGATACTGTTGACGGAAGGGGAAAAGAATCCAATTCCAGAACTTCCTGGGATGTCCAGCAGCTCCGTCAAAACCGGTCAAAAACAACAGAGCAGCCGACTGAGAAGAGTGAAATGAATGCGGTTCACGAAGCACTGGTTGCCGGCTTTCAGTGACACTTAATATTGATGGGAATACACAAAATATTGTCAATAGCATTTGCGTCGCGTTCTGAATAAAAACAGACCAGCCTTCTCCAGAAATAGCGTTGCCGCAGTGTAAAACTGGGGCTGCGGAAAACTACCGATGGAAAATTCAGAAGCTGTCAGTCAGCTGGAAATCGGCCGCCTTCCGAACCATTCCAGCAGTTTCATTCTGCGAAAAAGTTGACCCTACGAAAAAACCCAAGCAAGCACACATAAAATTCCTCGTAATCGCCGGAGAAGGGAAACTTTTCGGGAACGATTGAGTTTTCACCTGTTCCAAGTTACGTCGATACACTTCCTGATTAACTGCTTCCGATGGATGATATTTGCCCTTATCGAGGACGCAACTTGTGGATCCAATGCTGGAGTCGAACCTAGTTGCAATGATCGCACAACAAAACTATAGAAACATAAAAAAAAATTTGACGTTTAAGTTTTTCCAGGCAACTTTGCCACCATTAATGCCGTCATAAAACTAAACGGAATAGGATCAAGCAAAATGGCTTCAGATAAAAACAATTCAGCCTGCAAATTAACGTCATAAAAGCAGCATTAAAACATTTTGCATTTGTTGTGGATTTCATAAAAGAAAAACAGCTTCTTCACGAATGGATTATGGAAAATTAATGTTTATGCAATTGCCATGTTGTTATTATTCCTTTTATTTTTTTACTATCTTCGTTTTTCAATATGGTTTTCCTTAAAAATAACTTTATTCTCATCAATTCTTCAATGATCAGGAATAAAGATTACGAAAATCATCCAATTATCTCGACTGGGCGCAATGATTAATATAAAAAAATAAGTATATTCTGTTTCCTAAATTAAAAACAATTAGTAAAATCAACATTTTTCGAAGGCGGACTTATATTTTTCGATCTTCCGAAGCTCATTTCACATTAGATTTAATTTTTCACCTAAAAATAGACCACAATATGAGTTTCGATAATTTTGGTAGTTATTTCAATTTAATGATAATGAAATTTATGACAGATTTATTTTTGAACAATGAATTTGGCTAGAGCGGATGATATGTATCGCTTTTAATCTTGATTGATGCTTTATTTTTAGTGCGCATATGAAGCGTCAAAGGCAAATGGCACGAGTATTGATGCCAAATGGCTTTTATTGTAGTTTTAATAAAGATTTTAAATAGTGCTCAATGCTTTCGTCGTATAACCTTTTTGCAGCAAATCAATCTTGAATTGACTCGAAAATATGCCCTTCAAAACCTTCTCCAGGGTGGGCCAACTAGATAGATTCTAGTCTTGATGAGGTTTTGGGGGATGTAATAAAGGCAAAGCTGCCTTGACCAGGGTTTTATGAATGTTATTTTATAGTAGCCTTGAAGTACTGCATAAAACGTAAAATGTTACTTGGGTGCTAACCATAAAGCAAAAGAACTATTCATTGTTACGAGCTGCATTTTTTTTCGAATTTATGCCAACTGGTCATTACGTCAAACTACATCATGTCAAGTGGCATTAAACCAAACGACATTATGCTAAATGAAATTATACCAAACACGGCATTATTCCAAATGCAGTGCTTTAGGAAAAAGCTTAAGTCATCACCAGCTATATCTTAAGGAAACACCAGAGGACTGATAGCAATAGGTTGATCAACTAAAAATATTTGTGCGAAACATTCTGGACTAAATCGAAAGCCTTATAGATTGCATTTAGTAGTATAGGTATTTATCAACTCTAACTATGAACTCTAATAGGTTCTCAAGATAATGAGACAATTTCAAAGGGCGGGGGGGGGGGGGGGTACGCCGGAGAGCCCAGGGCTGAAAGGCTCCTTAATAAAGATATATAAAAAAAAAATCAAAGGTCTTATGCATAAACCTTACGGAAAACACATGCCTTATGGGTTTATTTCAGAAACCCTATGCTATCAAGCTAGAGGTTTAATTAATCCTCTTCATGGGTCAACCCTGAATGTTTTAATGGTTTAAAACCTTGCATAACAATTGTATTAAGCCCAGATCAGAACTTCAGAATGGTATCTACTCTTATTTTCCCCATAGGCACAGAAACCAAATTTGCCGGCTCAAGCTGCAACGATCTCGTCACGACGGACAGTTTTTCCATCATAAGTGGGCATTTTGACAAAAAGATTCGCTTCTGGGACACCCGAACGGCGGACTGCACTGCCAACGATATTCCACTGCAGGGCAAAATCACGTCCCTGGACCTTTCCAAGGATTGTAAGTTCCTACTGTGTTGCGTGAGAGATGACACCATCAACCTGTTGGACCTTCGGCAGAATAAGATAGTACGGACATTTCGGTGCGTTGGCTCTTAGTTCAGTAATAACAGGACAATATAATGAAGGTCAACTTTCTTGCAGACACGATCACTATAAAGTGGGCTGTGACTGGGCTCGGGTAGCTTTCAGTCCAACCTGCCAACGAATCGCCGCTGGATCGGCAGATGGTTCCGTCTACATCTGGAACGTAAATGGTCCGCTGGAGACAGTGTTAAAGGATCCCAAGTAAGTTTCGATGTTTAAACATTTTTCACGCTATTTTCATGTATACGATTGATTAATTTCAATCACCGCTTAACTTTTAAAATCCCAATTTCAAATTTCGAGGTCTGATCGTGATTGGTTTTTTCGCAGTGGAAGTGGCGCCGCGGTAACCGCCGTCAGTTGGCACCCATTCAGCTCCGTCCTGGCGTCGGTGGACCGAGCCAAAAAGTGCACAATTTGGTCGAACGCTTAGCAAATCGTCTTTCACATGGAACTGCATTCACATCTTCATACTACTACAATAGTGTTCGTTCCATTTCGTTCTTATCGGGCTCGTGGATTTTGATATCGAAACATCACCATAACGCTACAAATGAAAGAAGCACGGTGCGTCTGTTTGTGATGTTTGTCGCTGTATATTTGTGCTACGTTGTATGAACGAGTTCTTTTGTAAATGTAGCAGAAGGAATGAATAGTTGTTTTTCGTTTTAAGGTTCTCGATATTATATTTTTCTACAGAACTTTTTGCAAATTCGTCCTTTGAATTGTTTTACAAATGTTTTCCACGTTTTCGGCAAATGAAAAACTGTATTCCAAAATTCTACAGTAATAAATATACTCTTTAAAATTGTGACTATAAATGTAAGTGTAATGAATTGATCCGAAAACTCCTCCGCACACAGGTAAGTATCCAGATCCAGCGCAGCTTTCTCTTTTCACGCAACCGTGTGACTCAGAACCGTTGCACAAACAAAGATTCTTACGAATGTCATATATTACCGGCACTCTTTTGTATTGACCTAAAAAATCGGGGTACTCCGCCATGTATAGAACAAACTGGTTTTCGTTTTCGCTACTCAACTAAATCCAGCAATGACTCAGCATGTCGAATGATCCAATCGACGAGAAATTTGACAATTCGGTTGAAACAAGGCCAAACTCATAAAGACGTAACCCACGCGCTCGTTCGTCCGCACTTGATCTAATCTGGATAGAGATGTTGGACATGAACAAATTCGCGAGGACAAGTTTCTAACCATCGGGTGCCATTGTTCGCTAGGAATGGTAATCAATTTTCAACCACATTCATATCCGATTACTGACCGGTTGATTTGGGTGTTACAGATGATCGCATATTTCTTCCGCATAAAAAATGCCTGATTTGCGCAATGTTTGCGGATTAATTTAGCAGCTAGAAAACCGCAATGGAGCAAACATTGACATAATTCTTGAAAGCAAAGATGTCGTTTCGCTATGTGCTTCTATTTCTTTGGGTTACGGTAGGCAATGATTGCCTAACGGGATCATACATCTGTGGTCATTGGACAGTTTGGCAAATAAGCCAGCATCCGTGCAGTATTTGTGCCAATGTTTACCTTCTTGTTATTGATTGTGTTGGCAAATGCTTTCACATAAACCGTTTCAGTTGTGCTATGATGTTGATGGCATTCATCCGCTATAAATTAGTTAGCTTTTTGCCAAATTTTTTTTTTCAAATAGTTATGCAAGCAGCACTGATTTAGATTTATGAACCTTGAATTTGGATAGGCAGGCTCAAAGGCTAATAAAATTGTATCAAAAAATCTTCTGATTTATTACTTCTCGACAGCTCCGATTATTGATGTTATTGCTTATGTGATCGCTCATAATAAGATTAGCGTTCATGGGAAAAGCTAATTCACTTTAAATGTTTATGCAAATATGTGATCGTTTTTTCCTGCTAATTTTGGGAGGCATTCTGCACCAATTAAGAACCGTTAGAACATTTCCCGCATAGTCGACTTTGGATCAGGACAACGACCTTTGGCGCGGTATTCTAATTGATCTTCTTCTAGGGTGGGTTATATATTCCTAGCTTCATTTTAAAAAGGAGGTTGTAAGACCAAATGACTACAATCTTGAGGATAGGAGGACAGCTCAATGGAGATTCTGTGCTAGTTGATGCAATTTCCTTCCAGTTTGGCACGATCGGGTACAGTGTATCTTGACAAATAAGGCCTCTCCCATGGCACTTGTCATCGGACGGTTGAATCACTTTTTTGCTCTCACTCAAATAAAGCGTTATTGTTCTCTTCCTGTTGCTGAATTCCAATCCAAGGAGCTAAAGAATGAGATAAAAAAAAATGGCAAACGGAAAGGATTCTGACATTCAAATCAATGGACCCGAAGGGATTGAACGTCGGGGTACATAAATTATTCATGAGCCGCTGGTTGGCTATCGGAAGGTAATTTGTCACTGACCGCGATGGCCGACCGGTTCGTTCCAGTTGGTCTGGATGGGTTTTCTAGTTCTGGTTTTCCTTTTTGTCGTCGATTTGTAATATATGTGCTAGCAACTTAGGCGCGCTTGATTGACGGACTGCTTGCAGGAGAGTTGCTAGTTGGATTTCCCTAATGATTGATTAAGGGTGTTTGGTAATTGAAGGGAACAGGATGGCATTATTTGATAGATGAGTTAGCAATGCGGTTGAAGCTTACTCGTTATTACAAGTGAGTGCCACCTCTTTAGGATACTTAAGTAGATAATCAATATGCTTCTTGATCAAATTTGTTTTTGAGCGACAGTTAACATGCAGCGGCTTACTCACGTTTGAAAACTTTAGCAATTTAAACGAAGTTTGATGTTTACCTGAAATGAAATACAAAAGTAAAATAATGTTTAGTTTATTGTTATTGATATTATTTTACAGATGAGGAACGGGCTTGGTGTAGTGGTTAGCATCCATGCCTCTTACGCTAAAGGTGACAACAATAATGGGAAAAAAGATGGTCTCAAGTGAAAGTCTCTGCTCTCAAAAACACGTAACACTCACTGCTGATGACAACAACAAAACGCAACGAATAGATTCAATTCTTAAATCCCTAACCCTATAACATTTTTATAATTGTAAATTGTAAGTTTAGATGGGGATCGTTCATCAAATCCAATTATCAAATTCAACTGATGTCACCCGCCAGTGGATATTAAAATGACTACGAGCTTTGCTGGCCGTAATATTCATAGCTGCTCCGTGACTGACCAGAACTAGTGAAAATTGCACAAAGAACCAAATGAATGATAACTGGGATGAGCAATCCAATCACGTGAGCAAACTTTGGTGAATCAGTGGAATTGTTAATTCGACATCATTTGTTACTAGAGACCGAGTATACCGCTGAATCCCCTCGGCGGTCACGTAAAGTATAATGTTGATAAGGGGAAGAGTAAATGTGATCTGAATTTAGTTTGGAAAGTGATGCGATCTTTGAAAGCCTGATATGGAAATAATGCAACCATATTAACTCAGTTATGTAAACAGGATTGCAACCACGTTCTGCTTAGTAAGCAACATCAGTCGTTATTAGGTCACTGAACCTTGTACATTATAGCAAACCACTGCTACCAAAGATCGTTTAAGATCAGCGACTAAAGCTTTTAAAATAAAATGACATCAACGGAAGTAGTCCTTTATGTTCTCGATCCCGAGCATACGTGACATTTCACCGAGAATAGAACTTTTTCCTCACAGTTAAGACCGAGTTTAATCAGCAGTTGTTTTGTACGTTCCCAAAAAGCTCTAACATAGGAAGGATCTTGTGTGTTCGAAAAATAATTCTCAAATCTCATACATTGAGCTTCCATGAGAGAATAAACTGGCGTGCGAATGTGGCAAACAAATCTCACATGCATTTTTAAGCACTAATAAGCGCCAAAAAATCATTCTTAATTATTAATCCTTGAACCAATTTGTTTCCATTCCAAGTGATCAACAAAGGGTAAATATTGGGATTCTGGACTTTATATTATTCATACATAAACTTTATATAAGAAAATGGGCAATAAGCGGTATTGTTAGTTACTTGGGATATAGGGTATACGTCCCTAACCTCGGTCTAATATGCAGCCATAGATTACGTTTTTAATCATAACTCATCAATTAATTTACCTGCAAACGATATTCTACTGCTAAATGGTATGCTTAGATATGCTTATCATGTCGTTTGCTATCAGGAACCGCAAAAAGTTGAAAAACTTACTTTTTTTAAGACAAAAACTCACCAGGGAAATGTATGTAATATCGGTCTATTGTCCCCAAATTGGGTCTATTTATGGATGCAACTTCGTCCTATCCTGTTTGATTCTCAAAAAAAAACGCTCTTGGTAACGTTTTCTTATGTATTTTTTTTTATCACTATCACTGTTAACTTAATACTCTTCATTCCTCAAAACATTTCTTAGAGAAAATTTTACGAAAACTACATTAAATCACTCAAGTTAAAAATTAAAAATTAAAAATTTCGCTTATCGTCTTTCGACCGCAGAATATCTAAATCAAAACATTGTGATGTTCATTATACAGATTTGGCAGAAAAAATCTCCCTTCCTGTTCGTTCCTTATCATCCAAATGCAAAACAACATTGTTGACGTTACTCTTATTGCTATATGCTGTCAAATGAATTTCATGGGCCAAAGTTAGGAACATAGAAAAGAAATGTGTCCCTAAAGTTGGGTCCATGATTTACTTGTGAAAACGTTGTTAAACAATTAAAATAAACATAAAATATTCAAACAGTAACTGTGAGTTTTACGTCTAGTGTGTATTATCAGGTAATTCCATTCAATAAATGCCATAATCAGGCCATTTGATGATCGTCAGTGCAACCTTCCCATCTTAACCTTAGAAGTCATGGCGGCTAAAAACTCCGAACAGAGTGATATTCTCAACCAGTTTTATTACTTACGAGAGCTGAAAATGTATTGAAATGTTGTGATATAAATTGATTTGTGTGTGGTACACATTTATCAATCATCAGTGATCAATATTTTCCTTATTTTTTGTGTAATATTCCTTAATTAATTATTTATTTGCGTGATAGGCCGAATGAAAGGACTAGACCCACATTACATACCGTAACCCTACTACGTTAATTACTTATTAATTTCGGTTGCATAACTAATAGCAGGAATACTGCATATTATCTGATTATTTGCAGCATATTCAAATGGTAATGAATTACCGGTTTTACCGGTATTAAATTCCTCATTACCGTAAACCAGTTTTTGAAAAATACACCCGGTAATGATAGCCCTACACCAATAATGATAGGTAATGATAGCACGGCACCATCAATATCGTACATGTTGTCTCGATAACTTTTTCAAAGGGACGTATCAGCTTTTGTAAACAATGCATTTTATCGTTGAATTTGGCGTAACTGGTAGATCGCCCACTCATGCCAATCCTACCATCAGATAGGGGAAATTTTCCCCTACCTGTTAGTGGTGTTAGTAAGCGTGTGCGAGCTACCAGTTATGCCAAATCGACGATCAAATGCATTGTTTACAAACGCTGATACGTCCCTCTGAAAAAGTAATCGAGTTGTTATCAGTCCCAACGGAACCCTACTATGTTTTATGGTGGGTTTTTCACAATTCACCTTACCGCCACGACTATGCGTCTCTCTGCCTCTCCACTATTTACACAACCCAATGAAGGCTTATAAAAAAGCCCGCCACATCATATAAATCATGGCCTACTTAGCAATGGAACAAACTCTTTTGCTTATTACAGTGCTCCTAGTGGACTTTTTCGGAAGCTTTTGACGTCTATTTGTTGACAACAACAATAACAATAACAGTGTATTT